ATTACTTTCAAAAATATTCTGAATAGTAGTAAGTTCCCAATCTAACAGTTCAGGGGAACAAATCATGATAGCAGGATGAACCAAAGTCGCAATCAGACCAATCTTACAGGACTTAGGCACAAATGAATTCCAGTGCATGTATAGTCCAGTGAATGTGGGCTTACGAAAAACACTGGTACGAAAACCCCGTCCTTTCATTTAACAAGGACATCAAAAAAAGAAATTTCCCTATCCTTCTCAATTTCCATTGTAAACTTAAGGGATGGATGGAGAGAGTTAAGTTGAGCCAGGAAATTTGTAGCATCTATGGCAGAATCAAAGATAGAAAAAGTGTCATCCACATATCTCATATAGACACAAGGTTTTTGGACATTGTCAAACAAGATTTGCTCGTAATAGCCCACAAAGGTATTGGCTAAAACCGGATCCAAAGGGCTACTCATAGCAACCCCATCTGTCTGGACATACATCATCTCATTGAAGCTAAACTCAACACCCTCTGTAGCCAGACATATACATTCCAAGAATAGTTCCTCAGGAATACTGGCAGGGCCCAAATTACCCCTGTATAGAATATTGGCACAAATGCCAATGGTCTCATGTAATGGGATGTTAGTGAATAAACTGACAATGTCAAATGATACCATCAGTTTATCCTCAGACTGAATATCCAAACCTCTAATGAAGTTAGAAAAAAGAAAAGAGTCTGAAATATTATGACCCGAAAAGATATTCAAGACCGGCTGGAACAATTCAGCCAACCATTTAGCCAACTCATGTTGCACAGATCCCACCATAGACAAGATTGGTCTAAGTGGGACTACATCTTTGTGCACTTTGGGAAGTCCATACATTTGTGGTCGTTGCGAACCTGTTGGTCTCACCCTGTTGTAAACGTCCTTTGAGATCAGGTTGACCTTGTATATAGAGAGTAACTATCTCTGTGTTCTGGCCTCAACTTTACTGGCGTTATCACATGTATCAGCAGAACGAATAATCCTAAACCTTGTAAGATCATTTAAGATATTATTCATCTTATCCAAATAATCTTATTTATTTAAGATAACGACGCCAGAACCATTATCAGGCTTGGTGAGATACACGTCATCCCTTGACTTGATTGTACGATAATGAATACCTTGCCAGGCAAGGAAATCCCGCTCAACAGAAAGCATAGAATATTCATTAGCTAATTCAAGTAGTCTTGCCTTAGTTACAGAAAACTTCTCAGAAGAAATAGGGACATGTTTAATTAACTGAGAGAACAACATCTTGAACTCAGTCAAAATGTGCTCCTTACTGATTCTAGAAGGTGGAATGCAGAAGTCCAAACCACGAGAAAAAACAGACAGTTCAATCCCAGTCAAAGTGATATTGGAAAAGTTAAAAATATGTTTATTCAAATTATCTTCAACTACCCAAACCTTTTAGAAATGAGGCTATTTAAGTATTTGTTATTATTCTCTCCCACTGATTTATCCAAATGTAATTTGATAAAAATCAAGTAATTGTAAAATTAATCAGTCCATTCGGTTATGGCACAAGGTCAATTCTTTAAGATTGAGAAGAACTTTTCTTAGGTCTTGTTTGTCGTGCAGTGTTGTTCCTTCGTTTATAAGATGGAAGTTATTGAAAATCAAAATTATTTCCATCTCTATTGAGCAAGCCTTCATTAAAATGAGTTGGACAAATTGTTTGATTTTTCACTATCATGTTTATGCTCGTTTCGCTTTATTCAAAAGGAAATATGAGGTAAATTATCATTTTTTTGATTACTTTCGTCTCTCTCGTTACTTGGTTTTTATCAAATTAAGTTTGGATATGTGTGTATATATATATGTGAGTGTGTGTGTGTATATACATATATGTGTGTGTGTATATATATATATATATATATATATATGTGTGTGTATATATGTGCATATAGATATGTGTGTATATATATATGTATGTTTATTTATATATATATATATATATATAAAATGTGTATATGAATATATATAGATGTGTGTGTGTGTTTTTGTATGTGTTTATATATATATATATATATAAATAAATATGCAAATATGTGTATATGAATATATATGTGTGTGTGTGTTGTGTGTGTGTGTGTTTTTGTATGTGTCTATATATATATATATATATGCAAATATGTGTATATGAATATATATGTGTGTCTGTTTTTGTACGTGTCTATATATATATATATATATATATATGCAAATATGTGTATATGAATATATATGTGTGTCTGTTTTTGTACGTGTCTATATATATATATATATATATATATATATATATAAATATGCAAATATGTGTATATGAATATATATGTGTGTGTGTGTGTCTGTTTTTGTACGTGTCTATATATATATATATAAATATGCAAATATGTGTATATGAATATATATGTGTGTGTGTGTCTGTTTTTGTACGTGTCTATATATATATATATATATATAAATATGCAAATATGTGTATATGAATATATATGTGTGTGTGTGTCTGTTTTTGTATGTGTCTATATATACATATATATATATATAAATAAATATGCAAATATGTGTATATGAATATATGTGTGTGTGTTTTTGTATGTGTCATATATATATATATATATAAACATGCAAATATGTGTATATGAATATATATAATGTGTGTGTGTTTTTGTATGTGTCTATATATATATATATATATATATATATATATATGCAAATATGTGTATATGAATATATATGTGTGTGTTTTTGTATGTGTCTCTCTCTCTCTCTCTCTATATATATATATATATATATAAGATATTTTTGTAGGTACAAAATTTAATGATCGAAATAAAAGTATAAAACTTAATATTACGAGACATATTAAAAACGGGCGAAGCAACCGGTTTTACTCCTGCTCTTCAGTCTTCAATTAACAACATGAGTGTTTGTTGGGACTCGCTGTCATTTGTCTCTAGTTCCTTTTGCATATTTTTTTCACAACTTCTTTTTATTGTACATTTTTCTGTGTTAATTTTAAATCTCCTGTTGAAGCTTGAAGAGCGGGAGCGAAACCGGTACTCCACCTGTTTTTAATATGTCTCATAATATTAAGTTTTATACTTTCATTTTGATCATATATATATATATATATATATATATATATATAATAGACGGTGCACTCCGTAAATTTTTACCATCTTATATTTTATATTTTTAATTTTGCGCATGTGCATCTGCCCACCTAACTCCCCAAACTGCAACCCCCTTAATTATTATGTTTGGGGTGCTGTTGAGTGAGAGTCCAACAAAACTCCTTGTAACACCAAGGATGAACTTAAGACAATGATTATAACAGCATTCACCAACTTAAACAAGGGGACTGTCCAGAAAAGTTCAGGAGATTCCGAAGTCTTTTGGTGGCCATGATTGAAGCCAATGGCAATTTTATTGAATAAATTTGCTCTTTAGTATTTGAAGATATTTGTGTGTAATTTTGATAAAATTATCTGTTAAAATGAGATGTCAGTGTTATTTTTACTGTCATAAAAACACGTAAAAGAAGATGAAGTAGGAGTTGCACAGGTATCAAATCTTTTCTCAACTTCCCCATTTAGGATCAGGTATGGCTGACAGTGGATCAGTTCTAGTGAACTGCCAGCCCAGACTACAATGCAAGGATGAGAGGATATTTTTTGAATATGTGAGATTATATAATTATTATTCACACTGAAAACAGAATCAGAGGAAAAAGTTTAAAACATGACAAAGTTGCTGATAGATATTTATTTACCTAGGCATGAGATTACAAAGCCAGCTAGAATCTTGGCTTCAGTCACCTTTCCACTGCAATAATGTAACTTCCCTGTGCTTTTTCTTTAAATATTTTCATGGTAATTGTTTCTATGGTACCTAGACTTTATGAATTTAAGTGCCACGCTAGATTGGCAGTTAGGTCTCATCATTTTACAGTTGAAATGTCAAGATGTAACCATAAGTTTTATGCTAACAGTTTCTTCTATCGCTTCTCACTTGTGGAACTCTCTTCCCACTTCTTGCTTTCCAGTCAACATTGATTTTTAAAAATTTAAATGCAATTATCTTCTCGTTTTTTTAATGTTTTCTCTTCTTAGTAATGTTTTTTTTTTATATTCTCCCTCAATCAATAGCCCCTTGCATTTTAGTGGATTTGAATTTATTGCCTTGCTTGGAGTGAAATGATTAAAATAGTTGTCTTGCACAAGGTCACAATTAATGGATCTCTAATGAAGAGAACTCATACAGTAACAGACTATATGATTACTTTTCTATAAACAACTTATAATTTTGACCAGTACTTGTTTAATTTTGTGCAAGAATTGTTTACTTATATTTTTTATGCTTGGGTACAACTGTAGTTCACTTACATTATTTATATTATTCGGACTGTTATCCTCATCTTCATTGCCATATTCACAACGTTTTAGCCATTGTATGTTCCGGCCTTCTTCAGGTTATTGGAATTTCAAACCCAATCTTTTATTTCATCCACCAGGGTAGATTTTTCTAGTTCCTCGTGTCATGCCTCTTTCAGATGTCTCAGTTATTTCCCATACACAAATGATATCAAGGACACATGGCCCAGTGGATAAAGACGTTGGTTAGATCCAGTGACTAAACCCAAAGAGTTGTGATTTCAATAACAGGCCAGAGCAGTGGTAAAAAAAAACTTGGAGAGTTGAAGGGAAATAACTGAGACATCTGGAAGAGGTATGGCATGTGGAACTAGAACAATTTACCTTGGTAGATGGAATAAAGGTTTCAGTTTGAAATTCCAATCACCTGAAGAAGGCTGGTGTGTACAACAGTTGAAACGTGAATATGGCAATGAACATGAGGATAACAGTCTGAATAATGTAAGTAATCATAATACCTAATCTCAGAGATATAGACAGAAACTGTAGTTCAATAGTGCATTCTTTGTTGAACTGACATTAAATATATTTTTGTTTCATCATGCCATTTATTTATATTTTTCAGTATGGACTTTATTCAGCATTCATGGGTTGTTTTGTCTATAGTATATTTGGTACCGCCAAAGATATTACTCTTGGTCCTACAGCAATCATGTCACTTATGACTGCTTCCTTCGGATCCTCCCCAATTCAAAATGATCCAACATATGCTCTTATATTAACGTTTATTGGTGGCTTTGTTCAGTTGTTAATGGGATTGTTTAATCTTGGTAAGTTTGCATAGATCTTTTTATTACTATGTTTATTTATTTATTTTTTAATTCTACCATGATAATTTTCCAAGATCATCCTGAACAAAGGAGAAAAATAATTTTTCATTAAAATAATTTATGGTCCTTTAATTTTCATACTACAAAGAATTGCCACAATTGGCCTACCTCAACCTGAGCAGGCAGCAAACAATCTCACAATTCAGTACATGCAGGAGATCAGCTATGACACTGAGGAAATGGCAGTGTACATAGCTGATAGTGAACAAATGGAAGACAAATTCAGTGTTTATAACACAATTATTTTGAGCATTGAAGGTGAAAGAGGAGATCTATTCTCACTTGATGCCCCAGGTAGAACTGGCAAGACATTTATCATCAACCTACTTCTGACTAAACTGTGCAAAATGAAACATTGCTCTAGCAGTGGTGTCAAGTGAAATAACTGCAACCCTGCTAAGCTCATTCTTGCTTCAAACTCCCTTTGGACATGTCCAAGAAAGAGAAAGTAACCTGCAACATCAGTTGTGTTTCTGTAAAAGGCAAATTCCTCAGTGATTGCAAAATGATCATCTGGAACAAGGCGACAATGAGCCATAAGGGTTCCTTTGAGGCTCTTGACATAGCACTTCAAGATCTTAGACACAACACACAGCTCATGGGGTTTGCAACAGTCTTACTTGCAGAAGACTTTAGACAGACTTTTCCAGTGATTCTGAAAGGGACAAGAGCTGACAAGGTAAAAGCCAGTATAAAGTCTTCCTGCCTGTGGAGCAATGTGAAAAAGCTGAGACTCATAACCAACATGAGAGTGCAGTTCAGTGGTGATGAGGAAGACTAAGCAACTATTGGATGTTGGTGATGGCCAGGTACATTTACCTTTTGGACATTTGGTATTTGATTTAAAGGAACTAATGATTAGAGTGTTTCCTAATCTGAGGAATCAGTTTACAGACCACAACTGGCTGAGAACCCATGCCATTTTAGCTCCAAAAAGTGTGGCTGTTCATGGTTTGAATATCAAACTTCTGGAACAGTTGCCAGTTCCATTGATGCTGTACTAAATGCTAATGAAGCTGTGAATTATTCATTTGAATTTTTGAATACTCTAGCACCAGCAGGCCTCCCACCTTACAATTTGCACCTCAAGATTGGAACACCAGTGATGCTGCTAAGAAACCTAGATCCACTGAAGCTTTGCAATAGCACACAACTTACAATTATAAGATAATCCCAACAGTCTTTGAGGTACCATTTCTGACTGGCAAAGCAAGTGATGAGGCTGTATTTATTCCTTAAATTCCACTTATTCCCTTGGATATGCATTTCCAGTTCATGTGGATGCAATTCTTGGTGAAAATAAGTTTTGCAATCAGTATTAAAAAAGCTTGGGGATAGTCCTTGAATGTTGTAGACCTTAACCTTGCAGAACCAGTTTTCTCCTATGGCCAACTTTATGTGGATGTTCGAAAGTCAGTAATCATTTGTTTATTTATACCTCACACGGAAAGACCAAAAATGTTGTTTATCAAGAGGCTCTGCAAACTTGATAAGAAAACCTAATCATCAGGTGTTTGTGATTTAGCTGTACTATTTGTCAGTGCAGTAAATCTATATATATAAATCTATTTGCAGGTTTATTGTGAAACTATATGTCAGTCTATTTTACATCTATTGTAAATTTATTTTAACACTAGCCCTCCTAAGGTCTATATTTGCTATGAATGCACAAATCCAATTTTCAGGGTTACTTACTTTGAATTGTTACTTTCAGATAACCGATTTGCTTGTTATTACATAAGTCATTTTATGATTTTGGTATTCATAACTTATTGGTATTTCCTCCAAAAATCCTAACGATAGCAGTTGGGTATTCTCTCTGAATGCCTTTTCAGTGATACTTACTTTGAATTGTTACTTTTGGATAACCAAAGAAAAGATATGCGAACAGGAACTGGCGATAACATCCACTTTCTTGGGAATTACTGGGTAAATCAGCTAATAGTAATATAAAAGATAACATTTATGAAAAATAAGAAAATATTTTTTATGAAAAAGAAGCATTAGAAAAAATTTGTTTTTATTTTTGTTTTTCATAAAAACAGTTTTAATATGGATAATTAATTCAAAGATTAAAATGCAACATTTTGTACACCCTTGTTAATAGGGTGGGTAGTGATGAATCTGAAGCTCCACCAAATTGTATATTAATTGTAATAAGACTTTAGTAAAGAAAAAATATACCAAAATAAAGAGAATTAACTTTTCCAAGCTGAAAAACTTTGCTCACAATAGAAAACAAGATTTGAGATAGGCCTCCAGTTCTGGGCGAGGGATGCACTATGACTTGTCCTTTAGTAAAGCACATCATGATGTGAACCAAAATTGATTATTATAAATGATCAATACAAAATATTTTAAGAAAAGTACAAATCTTGATTCATTTAAAAATTGTGGCTTTTTTTAAATGTTTCTCACTTTTATCAAATGTTATCAGCAGCAGCCCAACATAGAAGATCTGCCTTTTTCCACTTATAGTTGATTGTCTTACAGTGTAGTTTTACTGAGAACAACTGTTTTTCTACTATGTTTAACCTTTGAACCTGAAAGGCCTAAACTGACTGAATCAGCCAGTTATAATCTCACTTCCTGTCTCATATATTAATCTAATAGATGCAATCTGCCTGATATTGTTATTCCTCTGTTAACTACTCTACTGGCCGTCCCCAATCAAATATCCATTTACTCTCTTTTAAATTAAAATATCATTGAAATATGTCTGGAAAATCATAGATTCCTATTCAATAAAGACTGACAATTTCCATTCCAGGATTCCTTATAAGGTTTATATCTGCTCCTGTTCTTAGTGCCTTCACTACTGCAGCTGCCATTACAATTGGTTTTACTCAAGTAAAGGTTTGTATTTACAATTTAAAAAAATTACTCAATTTCACTCTAAATTCTATTAAATAGAACATATTAACACAAATTAAGTATTTCAATAGACTATTGATCTTTATGTGTTTACCAAATATATATGAGGGTGGCCTTAGGTATAGATATTTACCCAAACATTTATAGCAGAAATTAATGATGGCTAGGGAGAAGTCAGAAAAATGTAAAGGAAGGTTTTGTTTTATAGAAAAAGTATAAAAATGTGTTATATGCATTCTCTCTGATCCTGAAAAGAAAAGCTAGAAAAATCAGTCTTTAGTCACAAATCATGACATGCTGGTCATGGTACAAGACTTTCTGTTTTACCCACATGTCAGGCAAACATCTCAGGAACAGGAAAATATGCACAAAATGGCTAATTCACTAGCATTGGGTTGAATATTTAGCTGAGCACAACACTTAAAATACAAAAGTGAATAAATCTTTTTAAATGTATGCAATGTAAATAAAACCCCACAAAATATTGAAAAATGAAGTTGAATTTCAACTATTTGTAAGAATGGATTGACTTCAAAAAAGACTTTGATAAACTTAGACAGCAATGTTTATTTTTTTTGATTGGTTGGAAAAGATGCCTGTTGAAATTCAAATTCTTAACAGTTGCTACCTTATTTTTGCAAAGATAGCATCATGTCCGTTAAAATTATTCAGAATTCTTGAATATATCATCAAATATAGTAATTAGCTGTTGTCAAGTTTCACAATAGTTGTAACAACTTTTTACTATTACTTTGGGAATAAGGTACTTATGGAAAAGTGGTTTGCTTAAATTGTCATTCAGCTACTGTTTTTCTTAATCATAGTGTCATGCTAATAAGGGCATGTTTGTGTTGTAAAAAATGGAGATTCCCAGCAATGTTTCATTTTAAATGCATTCACCACTTCTTGTCAATTTCATGTAAATTGTAAGATTCTTTATTTCCCAATTGTGAATAAAAAAATAAAATCTTCTAAGTATGATCTTTGAACTTGACAGAATTTCAATAAAAAGAATATTGGGGTTTGGGTTTTATATATAAAAAAAAGCCCAAACCCCAATATTTTAGGGGGATTTTTCTTTAATATAAAAAGTCAAACTCAGGTTTTATCATAACTATGGATGGTTATAAAAATTTTGGTATAGCTAAAAAGAATAAAACGTTTAAAGTGAAGACTTCAGAAATCCATGGTAATATTTTACTTTATGAAATCAAAATCTCGATTTTGCGAAATAAAATATTACCATGGATTTCTGAAGTCTCCAATTTCTTAATTATCATTTGCTCTGTTATTACATTGAGCTCTCTGGATTTTTATCCAGAGAGCTCAATGAGATTACCATACAGATTACCAATTAATTTAATCTTATATATAAGCATAGTTGCAGTATAAACTGCAGATGGGCATTGTGGATGTTGAATGAATACAAATGTTCCTGAGCAGGCATCTGCAACAGAGATTGGCTAGCCACCCTAGCAGACAGACAGGTGTGCTTGGAAAACAAGAGCAGTCAGCCATATATATATATATATATATATATATATATATATATATATATATATATATATATATTAAGACAAGCATATGGTTGCAAGAAAGAAATACGACAACAGCAGAAATAGATTTACGTGGTTTATTTCAACAGGATCGTGTGGGTTTGGGACATCTATCTTGTGGTAAAGTTAATAAGCCGGCTTTGGATCTAGGCTGATCTCTCATAGTAGTTCACACATGTTGACGGTGGTTGACGCTCCCTTGCTGACAGCTGCTTACCATGACAGGTCAGTTTCCTGGCCACCTGTGGACTGCCTGTTGAACTTCCGTGTGACCCCTTTTATAGCGTTTTTTTTATGGCTTAACAGGCTCGAAAAACGAAGCGAGTATAATTAGGAGGGAAGCATTTTTATTGAACGAAAAATAGAACACTTTAAATATTATTTTATTTTTCGACCGGAACACATGTGTCGGGAACATTTGTAAATGAAGAAATGGTCATTTTGTGACGGGGTTTTGTCCCGTTCACATCCGGCTCTCACTCTTGAGTATTTGCCTGTAAATCAGCCGAGATATGTCTTATTTTATTTTATAACATATTCAATAAATTAAGAGATGTTCAAGTAACTTATCTAGTTAGTCAACTCAAGAGTTTTGCATCAAAACACTCATAAGGGCCAAATGTTTGTTAAATCTATTGAACATTATCAAATCCCATATTTATACTCTTTCTGAGCAAGCAAATGTTAATTCTAACTTTCAAATTCTTAACATGCTAGAGTTTCATTGTACATTATACAATGTGTAAAATTTCAGATAGAATATATTATATTTGTAAAAGGACAATATGAATAAAGACAAAAGGAAAACTTATCTTAGTTAATGTGTTTCTGCCTCTGAGGGACTATATCAAAGCAAATGCAAGGATTTTATAAAATTCTTATAAAACTCCTTTCAATGTGATATGATCTTGATAAGGTCCATCAGAGGACAAAATACATCGGCAAAGATAAGTTTTCCTTTTGTGTTTAGTCAAATTATACATTACTTAGAAATTTGCAATAATGATGAAATTATATCTGTAGAAAAACATTAACTTTTTTTTTATTTAAAACTTGTGACATTTTTAACAAAACTCTGGTTATGAAAGTTAGAATTAGCATTATATTTCTCCTAATAATCTGAATGAAGAAGTGCACTTTCTTTAAAAAGGGAAATTAGAGCCTTGCTGTACAATTGTCCTTTCTGTAGCCAAATGGTAAAGCATGCTGGATCAAAAGGCGGCATCGCCTACAAAGGGGGATGCAGGTTCAATCCCAGCCATTTGCATATTTTCTTTATTAAAATTTCTCAAATGCGCAGATCAATAGATGTAATACTTACTGTCAAAAACAATAATAAAAATTTCAAATGTGACTATCTACTCTAATAATGTTTCAAATAATATAATTTATTTATTTATTAACATTTAAAAATTTAAAAATATGTGGGACAATGTCTTCCTAGGTTACATCTTGATTTTTAACAGGTTTGTAGTATTAATAGATGCTTAATAAACTGAAGGTTTACTGTATTCATGTTGAATTTCTTGTTAACATATTAACTGTTAACTTGAATATTTGAACTCTTACATAATGGCATTATAGGTTATTGCTAGTTACTCTTGGATTGATTGATTTGTTTTTTATGGTTTATCAACACATTGTAGGTTATTTAAAGCCAGAAAATATTTTTAGATTGTAAGAATTTTTTTGGAGTTAATAATGATTTATTGATACAAGACCTACTAATTAATCCATAGCTGTGGGGAAAAGATGTGGATTCATACCTTTTCCAAGGTTATATGCATGTAAATGACTATAACAAACATGTCTGGAATTGGAACTGGTCTCTGATTTCTAATTCTGAGCTGTTATCCATTACACCACCTGCACATCCAAGCTTACAGCACCTGGCTACCAATCTAAGTACTGACCAGGTTGAACATTACTTAAGTTCAGTGATTCTAAGAGAACTAGTATTTCAATGTGTTATAGCTGTAAGTTAGTACCATTAGAAATTGTTCCATAAGATTATTTCTGTCAATATTTCTGAGATGAGTTGTAACTTTTTATACTATTTACATTGTTTGGACTATTGTCCTCATCTTTATTGTTATATTAACAATGTTTTGGCTGTTGTATGCTACGGCCTGCTTCAGGTGATATACACTAGAATTTTGAACCAAATCCTTTATTTACTCCATGGGTGTAGATTGTTCTAGTTCCACGTGCCATACCTTTTATGGATATCTCAGTTTCTGTTAATTCCTTTTAGTAACTCAACTCTCCAAGTTTTTGTTCCCCTCTTCTGTGACCCCATACTGAAGTCACAATCCTTTGGGTCAAGTTACTTTATCGATTACTTCAACCAATGCTTTATCCACTGACAATAAAGATGAGGACAACAGTCCGAATAATGTAAATAGTGTAAATAAGTCTATCATGTTGAAATACTGGTTCTCGTCCGATCACCAAAGTTAAGCAACATTGGACCTTTGATCACTAGCTAATACCAGATGCTGTATGTTTGGGTGTGTGGATGGTGTAATGGATAAAGTCTCAGAATTAGAAATTAGAGAGCCAAGTTCCAATTCCAGTCAGGTTCGTTATATTCACTTACATGCAAATACCCTTGGGAAAAATATGAATCAACTTCTTCTCTTCCTAACTATGGGTTAATTAGTAGGAATTGTAAGAGAAAATCATTAATATCTCAAAAATATGTTTCAGCTTTAAATAACCTTGAAAAGGTTGATAAACCATAAAAAAACAATCAAAACTTATTAAACTATAAATATTACTAAATTGAATCTTAAACAAGTTTCTCGTTCTTTTTTTATTTTTTTCATAGTGCCATGTAATCAATTTGTGCAGGTAATGTAATGACTGTTAATTAAAAAAATGGAACTGGTGAGCCAAGTTCCAATTCAAGTCAAGTCTAGTTGCATTCACTTTTACACTAATACACTTGGGAAATGCATAAATCTATCTCTTCTTACCTCCTATGATAAGACATTTTCAATTTGAATTTTTTTTTTTTATTTCCAGAATATTCTTGGGTTGAAAAATATTCCTAAACATTTTTTGGAGTGTGTGTATTACACATTTGCCAAATTGGGTGAAACAAAGTAAGTAATTTAAAGGAAATTTTTATTTTATTTTTTCTCTAACATCTAAAAGTGTTTATAAAAGGACAATATCCATAATGTACTTTCATTTATATCTTTATGCAGACAAAGATTACAAGAAATGATCCAACCATTTAATATTAATGGAAAAAGCAGCTCACCTAAGCAAAATTCTCTTTCAGAGTCACCATCATGTACCTTATGTTCACTTTAATTTCAACCACATCTCTCTTTCAATGGTGATTTTTAGTTTTGGGAAAAATCATGGAGTCCCAGGGAGCCATGTCTGGTAGGGAGGCTGATTGGCCTGATTGATGCACATTTGTTTTTTGGGATCACCATCAACTGCTTCATCTTGTTCTCTTTAATCTCATCCATAGTCTAAAATCCTTCTTTCAGTGGTGATTTTTAACTTTGTGAAAAGCCAGAAGTCACAGAGCCAAATCTGGACTATGCAATGATTTGTCACAGTGCTCCTATAAAAACACTAACTCTGAATGAAGAATGGGCATTTGTGACATTATGGCTGTACACTTTTTAAACAGTTCATAGAATACCTAGATCTAATTCTTACACTTTAATTGAAGCCTGCAAATGTTCATCGTTTTCAGGCTTGTTGAAGGACTTCCAGAATTTGGATTGCTTTCAATAGACTTTTCTCTGAGTTTCACTCATTAAATCACCTCTTACTCATTTGAATTGAAGTTCTTACATATGGTATGAAATGGTGGACTTACAGACCAACTTTGTAAGTGAACTTGAACACCTCAGCAAAATATCCAGTTACGCAAACTGTGACTAACAGTCTTAGAAAAAACAGATCAGAAAGCAGAAAACAAGTGATGGTAATTGGAGAGGAACAGGGAATTGCCATTTCTCAATGTGGGCAAGCCTTTGGTTTTTTTTTGGTTTTTTTTTTAAATCCATCACTGTATGTAGAAAGCAACATTGCTAGAAATGGAGGCTTGGAGATTGATATAAAAAAGAAGTTTGATAAAGCTGCAGCACTATTCAAACATCTGAAATCTCTGTGGTCTATCTCTTCCATTAGCAATGACACCAAGATCCAGTTGTACACATTTATTGTCCAAACAACTGTAATCTATGACTTGGAAAAAAAAACAGCAAAATCTGCAAGCTTTTAGATATTTTTCATAGACATTGCTTAATAACCATACTGTCCATCTCTGGGCATAACCATGTTATGTCTATGAGCTCAATTTGTTGCATTCAGTTTTGCACAAATACCCTTGGAAAAGGTATTACTACAGCCCTTCCATCCACAGCTATGGGTTAAATATCAGGGCAGACTGGTCTCTCTAGTCTTGGTTGGTTACCAGTCTTGTAGAAGGAAAACTCTGAATCCTGAATCTAAGACTTATTGTATGTCATGCTGGTAACTTGTCCTTGTCAAAACCTACTTGCTACGGAACTTTGTGTAGTGAGGCTGTGGCACTATGCTGCATGGGAGTTTAAATAAAATTGAAGTGAGAACTGATAAAGTTAAATGCATTACAGCTGAAATCTGAAGCAATGGATTACATCCATAATTTTTTGTACAAATGCTGATTAAATTTTATTGTCCATAATGTTGAAAAAGAATTGTTAATATTCTGAATTTTGTTTGAACATTTGAATACCTGCTTTATGTTATTTATTTTGTTGCCACAGGAGTTTGGACAATCCATTCTTCAGCCTTCTTCACACACATAATCAATAAAAAAAAGGAAAAAACTTAATCCCCACATCCAAAAAACAAAGGTTGATCAATAGTCTACCAATATGTGACCAAAGACTATAATACTATCCCAATTTCGCAAAGGTAGAAATTAAATCTTATACTTATGTCCTGGGTGTGATGATAGACTACATCTAGCAGCAAGGCCTCTGATTGGAAGGTTTTGATGAACCTGGAACCACCTCGTAATTGCTGTTGTTTCCAGAACCACCCTGACCCATGGTGGTAGCACCTGTTAGGATCCCAGCTATGGGCAAATAGTTAACCCCCAAACTGGGGTCAAAACATGAAAATATCAACATACATTAAAAAAATTACCAGTAATACATTTTTATAGTAAAAAAAAATTAAAAAATTACCAACAATACATTTTTTTCAAAAAAAAATTACTAAAGCTCACAAGAGAATAAAATTTTAGCATTAAATGAACCATAAGGAGTTGATATGCTGTTAAGTAAATGAACCAAAATCTTATAATTACTGTTTTAATTTGTAATATGTTTGCTATGAGCTCATTAGTAGAAAGATTTAAAATTATTATTTTTTTTCTTTTTGTAACTGGGGAAAAAATATGAAATGACCAAAAAGTATGAAAGCAAAAGTCAAGTCTTAATTCTTTGTAGAAATATTTTATTTATATATTAAAACATAAATAAAGCATATTTCATACATATACACACACACTTACTTTGACTTTTTAGATTGAAAATGTCAATTCTCAAATATTTACCCGTTATTTGTGAGTGACAAGAATTTACACTATTTACATTATTCGGACTGTTGTCCTCATCTTTGTCGCCATATTTATTACAATGTTTCGACTGTTGTATGCTCCAGCCTTCTTCAAGTGGTTGGAATGTTGTACTGAACCCTTTATTTCGCTCACTGGGGTAGACTGTTCTAGTTCCACATGCCATGTTTAATGGATGTCATTTATCAGTTATCTCCTGCTAATTTCCCTCTCCAAGTTCTCTACTGCCTTAACTGGGTATTGAACTCGCACTCTAAGGCAGTGGAGAACTTGGAGAGGGGAATTAACAGGAAATAACTGATAACTGACATCCATTAAACATGGCATGTGGAACTAGAACAGTCTACTCCAGTGAGTGAAATAAAGGGTTCAGTTCAACATTCCAACCACCTGAAGAAGGCTGGAGCATACAACGGCCGAAATGTTGTAATAAATATGGCAACAAAGATGAGGACAATGGTCCGAATAATGTAAATAGTGTACATAATACCTCATCACAGAAATATAGACAGATACTGACAAGAATTTCTGTCACTGTAGTCCAATGGATTAAACTTCTATATTTGTTTTACATAACAAGATTTTTCAATTTTTATTTTGTGTTCTATGATCATTTCACATTTCTGCATATTTTCAGAATAAGGCATACTTTTATTAAAAGGCACTTTTTAATAATCTTTTGACAATTTAATTTTTTTGATTATTATGCTTATATTTTTATGCTTTATAATTCGTCATCAAATTCATTTATAATAACTGAAACATTTGAATATTTAAAGCATTTGAACCCATTAATGTCCACCATCCAATTTGGGGATTTCTTTTTGAAGGTAATACCACTTTTTTTTTTTTTTTTTTTAACTATAATACAAAACCTAAAATAATAATTAATTAAAAAATAAAATAATTAATACCAGATTTTACAGTGCACATTAATGGGTTAAAACTTATTTTTTTAATTATTATTAATGTTGTCAATAAACTGTATTCAGAATTAATAAATGTTCTTTATGAAATTATTTGTCATTCAGTGTTTGGGACCTAATTTTGGGAATTTTTTGCATAATTGTTCTGCATATGATTAAGGTGAGTATGATTTGTAAATTTAAAAAAATATATTTTTTAATTATCAAAAAAATAATAAAAGCAAATTTTAAATTCAAATTTTACAAATAAAACATTTAGGTTCTTAATTCAGATAAAAATAATTTGAATTTATTTATAATTGCGATTTGCCAAATGCTATTTATTCACTGCCACAAAAAGTCAGTCTGAGTAGTTATGATAAAAAAAATCATCAGCAAACAATGACATGCAAAAAATGGATTGTCAAAAGGATGATTTTTTCCTCCGACACTCTTTTTATTTTAACTACCTTCACTCCTCAGCAATGTTCATTGTTTTAAAAAACAATCATTAGAATTGTAATAACACCTAAACATGGTGAAAATGAATTTTTACATTTTTTTTATTGAGCATTTCTAACAAAAATATTAAACACTATTTATTTATTAGATTCTTTATTTACAAGAATAATTTTATATTTACAACATTCTAAAAACTAATACAATTGTATTAAAATTAATGCAATGCAATATTTATCATTTACCAATTTATAAAGAAGTAAATATGAAAACGATTTTTTATTCATAAATTTATAAACATTTATTAAATTATTAAAATATGTGAACCAACTATAAGGAAATCCATATTATTTATCATTTTATAGAATTTGAATCAATTGGAAATTAGCCAATGTTTTGCCAACCATCACAATAAACAATATAAATAGAGTTTATTATTTTTGTTGTCAGTTCTCAAGAAGAAAGAAAATGTATAAATTCATTTTCATCACATACTTAGGTTTTATTATAATTCTAATCATATTTTAAAACAATAAACATTGCTGAAGAGTGATGGTAGTTAAAATAAAAATGGTGTCAAGGGAAAAATCATCCTTTTGACACTTGACTTTTTTTTTCTTTTTTTTTTCCAAAACATCTAAAATGAAAGAAATACTAGTTAAAAATTAATAATGGCTGGCAATGTTTCATCTAATAAAAATTTAAAATATTATTACAATGGCTGATTTTTATAAATAATTGCAATGAGAAGCCATTAAAATGAAGAATAAATACATGCCAAAATTTAGTAATTGTTAACAAGGCTTCTGCTAAGAAAGAATAAAATCAAATTAATATCACTTTTACTTAAATATTATCTTAACTTGATTAAAATCTACACCGAATAAATTTTTTTTCTGTCTAGAAACTCCGCACAATTAACTGGGATGATGAAGGTGAATCGATCACTTTGTCACAAAAAATTGCCAGAAAGTTTTTGTGGATTTTAGGCACTGGTATGTACAAAGATTTGTAAATGATATTCTAATGTTAATTAGAAGTAAACATTCTTCTTCTATATAGTGTTCCTTCAGGAAGTTGGTGATCATGGCTCTCCTCAAGTTCCTGTTCTTTGTATCTTTAAATAAATTTTGTCTTTTTGTTATTTTTCATTAACCCTGTTCCTCCATCCATTAACTCAAGCTCGCTAGGTAGGTTATGAATGGTTTTCTTCAGTCCCTTTTGCCTTCAATCTGTCCCGTGAGTATCAAATTTTCCAAGCTCTCTTTCCTCATTATGTGCACTAGAAATTTCAACTATCTCTTCTTTTTATTAAGTATAACTGTAATTTTTGTTTCCATTTTGTTTAAAACGTTATCATTGCTCTCATGTCAGTCTTTGGTATTCTCAGCATCCTTCTGTAGAACCACATTTCTGTTGCTTCAAGTTTCTTCTTCATTTGTGAGGAGATTGTCCAGCATTTACTGCCATATAGGAGGACTGATATTACATAACAGTTCAGTATTCTTTTCTTTGTTTCTAATGAAATTTTTCTGTTTCTTAATAATTAGCTTAACTCTGTGTTGGAATGTGTCACAAAAAAATAAATGATTTTGTCAGTTTCTCTCCTGCTGTCATAGCAACGGGCACAGTCTCCACTTCTGAGACTGAAACTGCCCTCCTTCTCATTCCAGCCCTTTACATAGAGCTTGGTAACTCACCTTAACATGGCTTAACATGACTAAGCAATCCAGACACGAAGGCACAGGTCATCCATTCTTCAGGAAGCGGTGCAATCGGTATGGCGAGCTTCTTTAATTCTGCCACATATACATCTATTGTCTCGCCAGGTCGCAGACACCATGCCTGGAATTGGTCATAGGCCACGAACCAGTCAGTTCCAAACGCGGTTAGTAGAGCGCGCTTTATTTACTCAATGTCACTTTTCTGTTCTTTGCTCAGCTGCCTGTACACAGCAAGGGCGCCGCCTTTCAAGCGCAGTGGAAGAATCCGTTCAATCTTCGTGATCTCGCATAATTCGCAGACCAGTTCCACATTGCACTCCATTCAACCACAGACTGTCCACTCGTATCACCACTGAATTCGGAGATCAGGTTTATGTTGAATGGTCTTTCCACCATCTTGCTAGAGATAAAGTAAATGCTGAAATATCTTGTGTTGGAATGTGTCATGAAAAAATAAATGATCTTGTCTCTTTCTCTCCTGTTGTCGTAGCGACGGGCACAGTCTCCACTTCTGAGACTGAAAACTGCCCTCCTTCTCATTCCAGCCCTTTACATAGAGCTTGGTAACTCACCTATGCAAAACACCAATAAGCCAGCTACCAATCACAGTTCCCGTGCCTGCCCACCTCCACTCACTTTGGGGGTTTCAAGTTGACCAACTCATTACAAACTCTTGGAGTGCATCTTTCGCTATTCCAATGCACCTTCAGATTTCAATGTTGTATTTTCCAATCTCTGTTAAAACACTTCCCAGTTATTGTTGTATTTATTTGATTTTGATATCTCCATTTTGTAATTTGCATGTTGGGCTGTTCCTTTTACTAAAAACTATGCATTCTATTTCCTTGCAATTGATTTTTATTGCTTTCTTCTCACTTTCCTTCACTACCTTCTGTAGGAGTTCTTGTTGTTTCCTTTCCATGTATGCTATCAACATTGTGTTATCTGCATATCTACTGCTGTTAAGATTGTGGCCACCAATAATGAATCCTGGGAGGATTTCAAATTCTCTCAGAATCACCTCACTTTATAGGTTGAATAAATTTGGTTAACAGATACAGCCTTTTCTATTTTTGTATATTTACTGAATTCATTTTCTATCTGCATGCAGGTGGTTTGCTGCCAGTATATTTTCTGGATTATTGTAATATCCTTCCCAAATATGTCAAGTACAATTGCCATAAAGTAATAATTCTCTAACATTTTGGAACTGCAGTGTATAAACATTTGCATGTGTATATGTATATATATACATACACAAACACACATACATATTATGGGTGCATGTCCGAGTGGTTAGTACATTTGCTTTCTGACTATGAGACCTGGTTTGAACCTCACCATGATTGATTTGTCTGGAAGGAGACTTCTTGATGTTTTCTGTCTGGAGGGGGGACAATCCCAGTGTGCAGCACCTTTAGAAAGTGCCTCAAGACCATACCATGGTTAACCCAAGCCTTGTTGGTGAAATTGGGTAGACAGAACACTTGGAGCCATCGATAGCTGTGCTAGCATGAAGTCACAAGTCATTGTGACCGAGGGTTTGAGTCTGATGGTTTTGTTCAGATTGTCAGTCATTCTAGATAACACACTTTTTCCCAGAAACTGTAACTAAGGTCTACTTAGCATAGTTGCAGTATAAACCACAGGTGATGTGCCTGAGCGATAGTCAGCAATAGGGATTGGCTAGCCGCCCTAGTAGGCAGATATCCTCAAATATAAGTGGCCAGCTATTTTATATATATATATATATATATATAATGACTGATGTATTTTATACGACTTTGTATTCACATATTTTTATAATTTTTTTGTTTTTTTTACAAATTTTTTTAATTTTGTTTAATGACTTAATATTTGAAAACAATAATAATTTTACTAAAATTGCATTTATAACAAACCATAAATACTGCAACTATGCTTAGTAGACCTTAAATGACTAGAGCATTGCATTCTTTTAACAATTATTATACAGGGTGAGATGGAAAAATTGTTGTCTAAATTATGCAAAAATGAAAATAACAGACATCTCATTTTAACAGATATATTTACCAAAATTACACAAAAATATCTTGAAATACTAAAGAGTAAATTTATTCAATAAATTTACCATTGGCTTTAACCACAGCCATCAGAAGCTCATCCACCTTTTGACAGGTCTTGTTTTTCATCCTGCAGAAAAGCTAGTTTACATGACAACCACCCGACCATGTGGTAAGTTGTACTGGGTTACATGTTACCAGTACAAACTGCCTCATTTCAGGAATTCAGACTGAAAACTTATTAGCAAACAGATTTATAAATGTATAGATAATTATTTAAATAATTCTATAAATAGTTGTAACTTGGAGCATTTTGTTTATATTTTCAGCTGCCAATTCTGTTGTTGTGATTGGAGCTGCTGGAATTGCTGCTGCCATAATAAGTGTCTACCCTGATAAAGCCATGTTCACGTTAACTGGTGAAATTCAAAGTGGATTACCTCCCTTTAAGATACCCAAGTTCATCATCAGTCATGGAAATATTACTCAATCAACAGCAGAAATATTTTCTGTAAGTTTCTTCTCTTTATCCACAAATCTCGTTTCATTTTTGGTACTTTTGTATTCTTTTGTTTGCTATATAAATTTGATGTGTATGATTTGTTATAATTGGGGAAAATAACAAATTTAAAAAAAAGAAAAATTGGGAAAAAAATATTGGTAAAAAATGTGCAATTATTTAATTTCCCTTAAAATAGCATATAAAAGTTGAGCTACTTTTTAAAGAATAGTCCAAGAGTCCATATAAAGACATAAATGTTCGTCTAAGAAGAATATTCCTTTTAAAAATAAAAAAAATCATAGATCAAAATTTGAATTAAGATACAATATTTTCATATTCCCTGGTCCTGTAACTCATCATGACCGCTTGGAAACACCAGTTGCAGTAATCTTGGATGTGCTAATGGGGCAAAGAATAATGACTCAGAATTGTTAATCAGAGAGCTGAGTTCAAATTCCATTTGGGTTCATTATATTCACTTACATGCAAATACCCTTAGGCATGAATCAATCTCTTTTCTCTTCAGCTATGGGTTGATTAATAAGACTTGTATATCACTAAACCATTATTATCTCCAAAAACAATTCTAACAATCTAAATATATTTTCTAGTTTTAAATAACCTGCAAAGGGTTGATAAATGAATGAATCAATGAAATACTGTTTAGCTACGCAACGCAAATGTATAGAAACTATCATAACTACAAAGTGAGGGATCATTTTATATATTGATTGTAATATTGTCATCCATAGACAGACTGTTTTGCTGTTTAACAGCACATCAGTGTGACTAGACATCCGATTGCTTCAAGCCAGGATCAAAACCTGACTGATTTAGCATCAGTCGGAGATTTTCTCCCAAGTCATTGGAGCACAGTTGAAAGAAAGGCGAATTTTTACATACTTACTCTGTGAATAAACACACCAATGACTGACAGTGCACAATTCAGGGAAGAGAATTGGTCCCCCACTTTATATCCACATTATAATTTCTTGTTTGTTTATCAAATTCTGATTAGGTATGCATCAATCTCTTCTCCCCCCCCCCCAGTTATGCATTAATTAGTAAGACTTGTATCACTAAATTATTACAATCTAAAAATATTTGCTGGCTTTAAATAAACTGAAAAGGGTTGATAAGCCATAGAAAACAAATCAATGAATGTAACCCATCAGGGTTTTAGGGGCACCATATGTTCTGCAGTCATAGAAACAGCGGGTATGTCTATTGTAAGATAGCCTGATGAAGCCTGTCCCACTTCAGGAGGATTTTCATTTCAGAATTGTCCTTTGGATGAACATGGAATAGATGATTCTGGCCTTAGACACTACTTTAAGAAATAAAGGAAACTGCTATTTTCAGTCAAACTGAAAAAAAGGGAGATCTTTTTATGCATTGCTGAATGAATTAAAAAGGTCTTAATTGTAAATGTAAACATTTTTATTAAAAAATGATTCCAGGGAAGGTGCCAGTGACTAAGTAATTAGCAGAATGGAAAATGGGATCAAGTAAATCAAGTTTAAACTCTGTATTCATTTTGCACTTATGCCTTTTGGAATGGCATGAAACAGAGTAATTTATGAATTATTTTTATATTTAAAAAAATCTTTATTTTTTAAAAGCTAGAGACACCAAGAATATGGCTTCCATGTCTAAGTGAAGGCTCTGTCATTTGACATTTTAAACTGGATACTAATTCAGTTGATAATCCTTTTCCTTTTGTCTTAAATAAGTCATTATTGGCCTCTGTAAAAAAAAAACAAAAAAAAAAACAGATTCTTCAGGAATCCCTTTAAATGAAAACCGTACCACTAATCTTCTTTGGTAATGCTAAACTAAAATTTCATATTTTCAAATTTCATGACTAATTTTTCTTTATTAAAATTTAAAAGTGCACCCCAGTGTTTTAGTTATTTTACAAGTTCACCCAAAAATAAAAAAAAAGATTGAGAAACACTGGTCTAATCAAATAATGTTGGTGACTCATAAGCCTTTTGTTCCCAGAAGGAATTCTTCAATCTAATGATAGTTTTATCAAGTGGCCTGAACAATTAAAACAAGTTTGTCTACAAAACCCTAGAGTTGAGGTACTGAAAATAATATAATTCAGCTCAGTGCCAAATTTTATTTGCCTTATTCCTATATACCTTGTGTTGAAAAAGTCACTATGCACTTATATTTTTATTAACAGACATGTTTCATTACAGAATACAGGAGGAGAATATGAATGAAAATTACAAACAATTTTGTTAAAACCATATTGAGGTGAAATCTGAAATATAGAAAATATGATTAGAAAAGTGCACAGTAACTTTCTGAACACTGTGTGTTTGTGTGTGTGTGTGTATCAGTCAGTTAAATGCCACACATGATACTCACTTGGGCAATCATGTATCTTTTGATACATGACAGACGAGGCAGAAAATTTTTTCTGTAGGAGGTTGCCATTTCTTTCTATGATAGACTGGTTGCCAATGAAGGTTAAAGAACCCAGTCTGTCCTGCTATTCAATCCATAGCTGGCAGGAGAAGGGATGGATTCATACCTTTCACAAGGGGTTTTGTGCATAAGTGAACATAATGAACTCAACTAGGATACATACATATATACATATTTATAAAGGGTGTTTCATTAAGACAGATTATATATAAGAGTGTTTCGTTAAGATGGATCAAAGTCAGCAGTAAATAAATCAATGTTATTGGTGAAAATTTATTTATTTCTCTATTGGATCATGTTACTTAAGTCATGGCAATTATGTGTGAAAAATAATATTGCTCAAATGTCTGCCAAATCTGAAAGAAAAAGAAAAAAAATCATGAGACACTTAAACTTAATTCACATTAAAATTGGTTCAAGTTATTGGAATACCCTCTTTATACTCAACTCTCCCGTCGAATTTGACGTATGAGGGTCAAGCAGATCAGTTCCTAGGAAACCGACAGCTCGACAACAGCACATGAGATTTGATTATAGTGGTGAAGGTTACGTGCAGGACCATCTACACTTTTTGAAGGGCCGAATACAGAGACCTGGTGCATTACATGCCACAAGGTCCCCAAACGAGCCTCCACAGATTTTGAATCCAGAGTTGTCCTTCTCCTAGACCAGTTGCCATCCAAGGCTATAGAACCCAGACTGTCCTTCTATTTACCCATAGCTGGAGCGAGAAGAAGAGGATTCACACCTTTCCCAAGGGTATTAGCACATAAGTGAATGTAATGGATTCGACTGGGATTTGAACTCTGATTCCTCAATCCAAGCTGCTGTCCATTACTCCACTGTGCCTCATATATATATATATATATGTTTAGGCAAAAGTTGTGTGCCATAGGGATAATTTATTAAAAGTATAATTACTCATGAAAATTTTATTTACTAGTTATTTAATTGTTATATGTGCTGTTCAAAATGTTTTCCTTCTTTTTCAAAACACATCTCAATTCTATGCCATCATGATTCATTAATATGTAGTCTTTCCTCAGTCATTTTATTGTATTCATATTTAATTCTTTCTTTAAGTTCCTCAATATTTCTTGGGCGCATCTGATAAATAATTGATTTCAAATGACCCCACAGAAAAAAAATCCAAAGGTGTGAGATCTGGTGTCATCGGTGGACATTCAACAGGAACTTTGTGACCTATTCTTTTGTTAGGAAAATGTCCATTTAGAAAGTTATGCACAATCAAAGCAAAATGTGGTGGCACTCCATCCTCTTGCAAAAACATGTACATTCTTTTTGCTAATGGAACATTACACATATAATCCAGTAAAAATGTCAATAGCTGGTGAAGATAAGTTTCACTTGTGACATTACTGTCAAAGAAGTAAGGACACATTAACTGATCTTCCCATATTCCAGTCCATACTATAATTCTAGGATTATTTTGCACCCGGCTATCTTCCATCCATCTAGGGTTATTATCAGACCAATAGTGACAGTTGTGTCTATTTGACGTACCCACTTAGATAAAATGTGGCCTCAACACTGAAGAATATGGAATATGACCCGGGGTGGTAGCACCTGTTAGGATCCCAGCTATGGGCAAATAGTTAACCCTGAAACTAGGGCAAAAACACTATGAAAGTGTATAAATAGGTTTTAATACCAGAAATACTTTGTAAAAAAAAAATTATTACCAGCAATAAATTTTTGAAGGAAAAAAAATATTACCAACCATATGTTTTTGAAGAAAAAATATTACCAACAATACCTTTTTGAAAAAAATTATTACCAGCAATACATTTTTGAAGGAAGAATATTATCAGAAATAGATTTTTGACAAAACAAAATATTACCAGCAATAAAAAATTTTCGGCATTAAATAACCCATTAAGGTTGATATGCTGTAAAACAAAACAAACCAAACCAAGCCAAAAACACTTGCGAAACTCTTTTTGGCAATCGAGGTCATCCCCATGCAAATCCTGCACCAGATGAACCTTGTAAGTGATGTCTGTAGAGAACACATAAAACAGACTTTTAACTAACACCTGTACCTTGACTTAACTTCCTCATCGATTTATTTATTTTTTTTTTTTGCTGTTTGTAAGAGTTGCTAAAACAACCATCGTTTATATCAGATTGGTTGCACTTTTCAGTATGCCACTTTGAGGCCGATCAGCAACACTACCAGTTTCTTTAAAAGCATTAATTAGGCATCCAACAGTTGACTTATCAATAGGAAGCCCGTGTAGATTTTGCCTGTTGAATTCCTCTGTAACACATCAATGCATATCATTTGCTTTCCCATACATAAACACCAAGGTAACTTGTTCATCCTTTGTTAGTTTTTCAGCCATCTTACTTTGGCAAAATTGTTTCTGCAAAATAAGAAAATATCAAAACAAATTAGACATTTAAAACTCCTATAGTGGTCAACTTTTGCTTCATCCTGTGTAATGGGGGTTGTAAATAAATGCTGCAAGTATCGGTTACAGTTTTATATAAAAAAAAAACCAAAAAAACATTAAAGATACAAGAATGCTTAGCTTTAAAATTTTGATGTTTTGTATATTTAGATGCCTAACCTTGCTGATCTCATTCAGCTTTCTACTGTGTTTTTCTTTTCATGTTTTTTTTTTAATACCCTGCATTGTAAAAGCAGTTGTTTTGTTAGGAAGAAACATACATTGTATGATTCTGGATGTAAATATACTATGAAAGATTCTGAAATTTGATACTTTCAATGTTTTTTTGCCTTAATAAATTATCTTCACCCTTGATGAAAACTGCATTCTTTAAAATTATTGTCAAGCTTTTTACAATGGATAACTAATGCATTAAATGTATTGTTTTGTAAAAGGATTCCCGTGAAAGGAATTTACAAAATAATCTGAAAAATGTCTCCAAAAATACATAGGTGATATGTTGGAATTTAAATAAATGATCATATAACTGGCAATGGGATTGCATAAAGATGAATTCATGTCTTTTTATTAGTATAAAAGTGATGTAGACACTTGATTTAGAATTTTATTTGCCAGTTCTAGAAGTGCTGAAGTGGCATAGCAGTTATGAGTATGAAAAACAGAATCACCAAACTAGGTTCAATTTCAGCCAAGGTCGTTTATATTCACTTTACATTAATGACATTAAGAAAGGCATGAATCTGCTTTTCCCTTTAGTTAGAAGTAAATAGTAAAGCAGTTGGAACCCTTTTAACTAAGAAGGTTAACAACAAAAAAAAACTTACAACTCAACAGTTGCCTGAGAAATAAAGATGGTTGTGTATTGGGCCAGCACCTTAGCCTACAAATACCTAAACTTGCTATAGAAATAATAATAATATATAATAATAATAAGTAAAATCTCTGATGAACAAATTATCTCTCTTACAAAATGGTGACAAATATTGCCAAATATATTTTTGTTGCATGGAATGTTGTTGCTGTACTATATTACTACTACTACATTTTTTACACTTTTTTTTTTTTACACTCAATACAAGGCTCAAGAGCCACCCAAGATATAGGGTTACTGAATGATACTATCACTTCTGTCAGTCATTTTTATTTATCAACAAGTGTAGATAAATTTTATCTGTTATTTTTTGCCTCTGCTCTTCTCTCACCATTTGCTTGTATATTCTTATTCTCCTCCTTATTCCATCCAAATTTTGTTGCTGGTCCATGTTTTTATCTAAATGTTATGAAACTAATCCATATATGCAAAATGGCAATAAGGAATGCACAAATATGTTCTATCGCACCCTCTCTTTTATCTTTCTTTTGCTCTACCTCATCATAAAGAATTTTAATGTATTTCTTTTCATACCTTTCCATCTTTACTTGCCTTCCCAATTTTCACTCATTGTCTTTTGATGTCCAGCCAACAAGCTAGTCTCTCTTCCCATTACCCTTCTCTATATTTGATATGTTTATTTTAACTTTCATCTGATATTGTTTTTTTTTATTTATTTAGCTTTTTCACTTTCTATCATTCCTCCTCTAAACCTACTTTTTTTCTCATCCCTTTTGTTTTCCTAATTTCTCCTTTAACATTATTAAAAATTGTTTCCCAATCTAAATAAATAAGGGATGTTACAATATAATTAGCATTTATTAATTATCTCCCTTGAACAACTTCTCTTTCATTTTTTTTTTTCTTTCTTTTTTACATTGTAGTGCAGATAGACAGACACTACAATGTATCCAATTACAAATCACTCCATTTGCATTCTTCAAGTTAACACATTTCTGGAATATTTTAATTCTTGCCAGAATTTATTTTACACTTTTATTAGGCTACCATTCATCCAGGCATTGAATATTGCTATCACGTCTGATCCAATGCTTCTGCTATATACTTAGAGATTCTTGATGAAATCTAAAGAAGAATCTGCAATGTTATGACCTGGCATCTTGGCTTCAGTCACTTTCCCTCTAGCATAACATAGTTTCCCTGTACCTTTTCTATAAATACTTTCATGGTAATTGTTCTGATGATTTAAACACAGTACTAGATTGGCAGCTAGGTCTGTTCATTTTAAAATTGAAATGGCTAGATGTAACCGTAGTTCTATGCTAACAGTTTCTTTTAGTACACCTGTCACTTGTAGAACTCTCTTTCTGCTTCTTACTTTCCAGTCAACTTTGATCTTCAAAAATTTAAATGCAATGTCAATCGTTATTTTGTCTTTTTAATTACTGTTCTTTTATTGTCCTCTCTCCTTCATAATGTTTTTCTTTTTTTTTTTGTTTTCTCATATTCTCTAATACTCAGTAACTTCTTGCATCTTAGTGGCTTTATTGCCTTACTTGGGGAAATAATAAAAAAAAAGATCCAATATGTTTGGTAACAATGCACCATTTTGGCTACTTTGAGCTTCCATACAGAATCAGATTTTTTTGTATTGTCCTGCATATGACGAAAAACTACATACAACAGCGAGGCCTCTGATCAGGAGCTTTTGAGGAGCGTGGTACCACCTCTTATTTGCTGGTGTTCCCAAGTCCACTGTAACACAGGGTGGTAACACCTGTTAGGGTCCCACCTATAGGCAAATAGTTTACCCCCAAACTGGGGTCAAATACCATGAAAGTGTAAAAATAGTTTTTAATACCAGAAATACTTTATAAAAAAATATTACCAGCAATAAATTTTTGAAAAAAAAAAAAATATTACCAGCAATACATTTTTGGAAAAAAAAATATATTACCAGCAATAAAAATTGTCAGCATTAAATAACCCATTGAGGTTGATATGCTGTAAAACAAACCAAACCAAATCAGCTTTGTAGTATTAAGGAGATTATCAGGGTCATTGTTCTCCCTGACATCCTACTTTCAAAATGGCAAACTTTCCATGACACATCTTGAACCATTCTTTTTTTTTTCTTTAGTATTTTCCCCACAATATATAAAAACATCAACCAAATTAAAATATGTACAAAGAAACTTAATAATGTCATGCAATTAATTATTTGTTTAAAAATAATCTCTTGTAGAATATTGGACCTGGATTTTTCATCATACCATTTATTGGAATTATTGAAACCATAGCAATTGGAAAATCATTTGGTAAGTATTTTCACGATTGAAGATTGATTTGTTTTTTTACAGCTTATTAACCTTTTGCAGGTTATTTAAAACCATAAAATATTTAAAATTGTAACAGATTTTTTTAGAGAATAATAATAATAATTTACTAACACAAGTCTTACTAATTAACCCATACCTGCAGAGAGAAAAGGTAGATTGATATATATCCCAAGGATGTTTGTGTAAGTCAATATAATGAACCCAACTAGAATTGGAACTCAGCTCTTTGATTTCCAATTCCAAGCTGTTATCCATTACACCACCCATATATCCAAACTTACTTCACCTTGTATTCCCAAGTGATCACCCATCTAGGTACTGACTAGGCTTGAGGTTGTTTAATTTGGTGATCATACAAGTACTGGTGTTTCAATGTGATATGACTGTAAGATTCCATGGTTGAAAAATTTTTGAAGTGGGTGAGAATGAAGATGTTTGCATATCATTGCAGTTATTAGTTCAGAAAGTGGGATCAGCAAGTCAAGTTCAAATTCTGGCCAAGTTTGTTGCATTCACTTTCACACAAGTACTCTTTGAAAAAGGTATGAATCCGTATCTCCTCCCTCCAGATATATGTTAGGTAGCAGGGTAGATTTGGGATTTCTAGCCTTAGCAATGATTCTAGAAGGACAACTCTGAATTGAAAACCAGTTAGATTGTGATGCTGGCAATACTTGCTACAGAAACAAAAGCCGCAACACCTCGCTTGATGAGGATATTGCCCTCTAGTCAACAGGGGAGTATAGCATTAAGAACGATGAGAAGGATTCATTTTTCACATTTTTTCTTTCATGCTAATTTCAGTTGCTTTTCATTACAATTTCTCAGTGTTAGTAAATTAATATTGTTTCATCCTTTCTTTTTTAAATCAAGTTCATCCCAAGCAAGACAGTAAAGCCACTAAGACACAAAAGGTTACTGGGTGTGGAAGAATTAGAAACAGAAACATTACTAATGAGCAAGAACAAAAAGCATAATTGGGAAGACAGTAGATAGCAGTTGACATTGCATTTAAATTTTTGAAGATTAAAGTTGGCTGGAAAGCATGGAGCTGGAAGGGAGTTCCAGAAGCAAAAAGTGCAAGAAAAGAAACTTAGCATAGAATTTACAGTTACATTTAACCAACTCAACTGTAAATTCATGAGATCTCAATGCCAGTCTAATACTGTGCCTAAATTCAAAAAGTCTAGGTACCATAGTGAAGAGCTCATCTGAATAATTACCATGAAAGTATTTATAGAAAAGGCACAGGGAGGTAACCTTACAGCAGTGGGAAAGTAATAAAAGTTCAAGCTGTTATACTAATATGAGTGAAGATAAAAGCTTAAAGTTGATCTTCTGCCAATTGTAAAGTTCTTGTAGTTCAGGCAGCAGAACAGCTGTTATGAAAAAATATGCTTCAAGAGGTAAAAAGGAATGAGTTTAATTCTTTTATTTCCAGTCCATGCTTTTTACTCATAACTATAGACTGACAATGTGAATGGTTGTTATGTGTTTTGATTGATTGATTAGTTTTTATGGTTTATCAACCCTTTGTGGGTTATTTAAAGCCAAAACATATTTTGGATTACAAGACTAATAATTTTTTTTTCTGATTGAGTATTGCATTAACAATTTTTTTTTTTGAGAATACAAGTCCTATTTAATCCATACTTGGGGAGGAGGTGAATTCATACATTTTCTAAGGGTATTTTTGTGTGTAAGTAAATGTAACAAACCTAACTGGAATTCAACCTCAGCTCTCTAATTTTCATTCCAAGCCACTATCCATTACAACACCTGCACACCCAGTTGTTATGTAAATCAATTAGAATTATGATGTAAGAATTATTGTTTGTCTTGTAATGATCATTTGTTAACTTTTAGATTGCAAATTGCAACTTTGAACCAAGATGAGTAATATATTTTTTTAATACTTAATACGAGAAAGGGATGCGTGTGTATTGTAATGGTTATTGATGCAGAAAGTGGAATCTATGAACAGAGTTCAAATTCCAGCCTAGTCTGTTGAATTCATCTCTTCTCCACACAGTGGTAAAATAGCAAGGCAGACTGGAGTCTCTAGCCTTAGATGGTAACTAGGCTAGGAGAAGGATAAGTCTAATGGCAATTGACAAATAGTAAAGAAAAAGAAACTGTGGAGAACCATCATCATCATATATATCCTACAGAACATGGCATTATAAAATTAAAAAAATTACCAATCATTATTTGAGCATATTTATTTCCAGTCCATGCTTTATACTAAAGACCATAGACTAATAATCTGAGAAAGCAACTAAAATTATGAGGAAAGAAATATTATTAGAAAATTAACAATTGTTAACAATGCTTCATTTAATAAAAGTTCAAGATAATATTATTAAATTCTAGACTGTTTATTTTAAATTTCGAAGAAGAAATTTGAAGCAATTTATGCCTGTGAAACCTGGGCACTGGGAAAAGAGAACATACAAAGGCTCCCAGTCTTTGCAAACAGCCACGACTGGGAAAAATATCTGAAACAGAACCGAAATGGCTACCATAAGGAAAAATCTAGATAAGAAGACTGACATAATTTTTTTTCTTTTTTTACTCTTGTGACACTGTGACCTCCGGGGGTCAATCAAAAAAAAAAAAATAAACAGAAAGAAATGGATGATAATTGTTGGATTGAAAAGTTAAGAACAAAATTAAAAATGATATGCATTGATAAATCGTGTTCTAAAATAATTCCAAGGAGAATCAAACCTAAATTTAACTCAACAGAATTCAGTAAGATTGAGCAAAACCAAGACTTCCCGTCTTTCCCCACTTCCTGCTGATGAGAAAGAGACCTTTAATGTATCTGCAAAGATGTCAAATAGAAAAAAAAACATGTTGATAAAGAAATCCAGGTGGTCACTGAAATAACATTTAAAGATCGCTCTGAACGAAAAAGCCAGGAAAAAGAAACATTTGGTTTGAATAAGCCACCCAGAAGAGAAGTATCCCCACAGAGATAGTGGTCAGCCTGATATGTTCATTCATTATAATTTCTGTGACATTCATCCAGAAAAATTTTATATTCAAACATTAATTTGGATTCCTTTGGTACAAGTGATAAAGAAAAATGAATTACTATTTTGGAGTGACCATGAAAAAAAGGCTGTGTGGTCTTGTTGATAGTAAAAAAAAAAAAAAATATGGATAGACGGAGGAAAGATAAACTTTTGTTTTGAAGGAGATTGGGAGTAATTTTTTTTCCTTTTCTTTCCCAATTCTTGAGTGGTCTGGTGGATTTAGAAATCACAGCATGGGACAAGCTGATAAAGAAAGATTAATGACAGAAAATCCCTTTTGTTTTTGCCTATGCCATCTGGAAGTTGGATTTGTCACAAAGGAGTGGGCTGAGGATAGATGCTGAGAAAGTGGGAGAAGGAAGATTATCACCACCTATATGGTGTGATGGTGCAAGATGAGACATGATGTAAGTTGGAGTTAAGGGGTGTCTTGATTCCTCTGACCACTCTCAAAAAGGGAGCTGGACAACCCCAAATTTGGAAAACCACTTGAGTAAATATATTTATATAGACAAAAATATTTAAGCAAATGCTATATTTACAATAATATATATATATATATATATATATATATATATGAAAGAGAGAATTAATACAAGGAAAAGGTTTGTCACTTAGCTGATTGGGGTTACCTTCAGCGTCCTGACTCCAGAGTTTCAAAGATAGACCTGTCTGTCCACATGTCGGGTTAGCAGTAATTGATTGATTATACTTCTCAGTTTCTCTTTTTTATATATGCACTTATCATTGGTGCAAGTTTGTTTTTCATAGTATGTATTTATGTATGTGCATTCATGTGTGTATGCACCCATCTGTACAGATGTGCAGAATGTTATGATTATTTGTCCATTTTGTTGCTGCTTTTTTTTTTTTGGGTGGTGGGGAACCCCCACTTTACACTCACTCCTTACTCTCCACTCTCTCTTTTCTTTTTCCTCTTTTTCATTTTTGAGCATTCTATTCTTTTGTTGGTCAGGTTTAGAATTAAATTTTTATTTATTATTGTTTTTATTTATTATTGTTTGAATTTATTATTTGTTTGAATTTGTATATCCATACATTTGCGCACACGTATATATGTTGACTTCTTAGTGAAAATTTTTGGACATACCTAGTTTGATAATAATTGAATATTTAATTATTACAACTTTAAATCTTTTGTAGCACGAAAAAACTGTTACAAGTTGGACGCAACTCAAGAATTTGTTGCTTTGGGTGAGTAACTTGATTTGCCTTTTAATGTTTCATACTTCTTTAAAAATATAGTAAAAATGTGAACAAATTGAATCAAAGTGTTTTTTATTTCTTTTTTGAAAGAAACAAGTCAGTGATTTTTACCTCATTTTCTAAAATTAAGTATTTAGTATAGCTCTTACCAAATTATCATTTTATTTATTTTAATCTAAGTAGATAGGTTTTCCTATGGTACAGTTCACACACCTCCCTCGTCTTTTGAAAAATAGAGGTTTATCCTTTGTTTCCTGATCCTCCTAAAGTCTACTTCAAATCTATACTTCTAACATCTCTGCCTAAACATTGAAATTTTACTTACTATACTCCTCCCCAGTCTTTTGAACAGGAGTAAAGGTTTATCCTTGGTTTCCTGTTTAAGATATGATTTCCAGTTCCTTCTAAAGTCTACTACAATTATATACTTCTAACGTCTCTGCCTAAACATTGAAATTTTATTTACTATTTATTTTTTTTTTTTTCTTAATAGAAGTAGATAGGTTTGTCTATCATCCGGTTCACACTTCTCACTGGTCTTTTGAACAGGAGTAGAGGTTTATCCCTTGTTTCCAGTTTAGGATTAGGTTTCTGGTTCCTTCTAAAATCTGCTTCAGTTTTTCTCTCTTCCACCAATTGGAGTAGATAGGTTCACCTATGGCTGGTTCGCACTCCTCCCCGGTCTTTTGAACAGGAGTAGAGGTTTATCCCTTGTTTCCTGTTTAAAATTAGGTTTCTGGTTCCTCCTAAAGTCTTCTCATTCTCTTTCACTCCCAATAACCCTTTGTGTCTTAGTGGCATTATCACCTTGCTTGGGGTGAATTGATTAACAAAAGAAAATTTTGTTAGCCAGAAAATTGAATAAGCCAATACAATAGTTTTTTGTGTGTGTTTTAACTGGGTACAATTGAAGCATTTACTCTGGCAAGTAATAGTTTTACCTTTTTCCTTATGTCATTACCACATACCAAATCAAAATATGTCTCAACATTTTATTTCTTTAACACAATTTTATTTATTTTTCTCTTTACTAATACTTTCTACATAAGACAAATCTATATCTATCTTTTTATCTCTGGTAAAATATAATTTCACGTTATGCTATATTTATGCTCTATATTATAAAGGATATGTAAAATATAAGAATATGGACATTAATGTCAACACTATGTAAAGATTAGGAGTTATCATTATTTATATGTAACTGGGATGATGAGTTATTATTAACATGTGGTATGAATTTCTCTTCTTTTCCCAGCTAGGGGTTGATAATAAGGCAGACTATGCTCTCTAGACTTGGTTGGCCACCAATCTAAGAGAAGATAACTGTGAATTCAAAAGCAATTCAGTGTGGGTCTAACAACTCACCCTCATAGAAACCTGCCTGCAACAGAAAACATGAACAATGTGTGGTGAGTTTGTGGCCCTATACTCACAGAAGAATCCACAGGATTTACATACATACATACTTAAAAGAATATTTTTTATATAGTTTGTTTTTCAAGTGTTTCTTGATCAAGCCAAGAATTTTTCTGCACCACCTCCAATGTATATCTGTTTATATAAATCCAATGTGACTGGTTGTATGCTGTAGATACAGTAGACATTTATCTCTTGTTATTCAAAAATATAATTAGCTCTTTGTATGAAACTATCATTCTTATCAGTGTTCTTTTCTTTCTTTCTTTTTTCTTTCTCCACCCTAATTTATTCATAAACACTTTCCTTTCCTTCTTTTCTTATGCCACCCTAATTTATTCATAAACACTTCTTTTTTTTCTTTCACCAACCTAATTTATTCATAAACACTTCTTTCTTTCTCACTTTTGACTTAGTGTCAAAGATATAATAAAAAAGAGAATAAAATATTTTGGTACTTGAAAATTTTTGGATGGGTTGAAAATTTGGGCAAATACTGTATTCATGTACAGATCAGCCTTTTGACTTGACCTGCTTTGTGTGTAATTATATCTTCATTTTTATGTGCATGTGTGGAGGCAACAGAAATGTGGTTCTACAGAAGGATGCTGAGAATACAATGGACAGAGTGCCTAAGCAATAAAGAAGTTTTAAGAAAAATGAAAACAAAAGGAACACTTATATTTAGAATCAGAAAGAGACAGCTAAAATTTCTTGGACGCTGTTGTGGTGTCCTCCCTCTAAAGAGTCTATGTTGGACTCTTCCGCCTACTATAAGATTAGTAGGAGAGAAGGCCTTGGGGGAACAGTCGAATAGATTGAACGCTGGGTCAACCGACACACACTCACTAGTCATGTAATACTCTTCTGTTGTACTTACTGTTTAATATATGATATATCTGCAACACTTGTTTTGTTATTTCTTTAACCATTTACTTGGTCACAACATCTTGGCAACGAGAATTCAAAGAAACGGACTTCATGTTAAATCATAAAAAAAAAAATTTTGGCAGTGTCTACAACAGTGGTGAAGAAAGAAATTCTAATCAAACGCTATGACAAAAGGGTGTCCAGTGTTAATTACAACACTGACAGTGAAAAAAAGAAACTCCTCAAAACAATAGGATTTCTACAAGTTCAATTCAGTGGTTGGGAAGAAGGTTGATGAACCTTATTATTTTTTCCATTAAAACAACTCAGTAAAAGAACTGTACAAGTCAAACAGATTTATTGTTTTCGCTAATAGGGTAAAGTAAAAATTTACCCCCTCTCCTGCTTTTAAATTTTTCAGTAAAAGAATCATACAAGTCAAATGAGCAGACTGTAAAATTATTACTCATTTCAGGAAGTGATATCTCGGTAATAAACGAGCAAACATGGAAAAAAAATCGATTATCTGCCGTTGACTAACATAAACAAAATTGCCAGGGAGTGTCAGGAAAAAGGCTGAAGTTTAAAGGTGAATTAAAATGTAGCATTGCATTCATGGGAAAAATTCACAAATCAAAAGTGTATGTGCTCCCTGGTTCAGTAAACCTCTTTGGTTTAGACTGGATCTTATTGTTTAATTTATGGGAATTACTGGTAAATTCTTTCGGTAAAAAACTTAACATCATAGAGAACTATAAGATGAAGCAAACAGAAAGATTTATTACAGATTTGAAAGGCGAATTCCCTCACGTCTTTTCAGAAGGACTAGGTCTGTGCAAAAGTCAACTTTGAATTGAAAGAAAATGTTAAACCAATCTTTAAACCAAAGAGAAAAGTACCATTTTTGGCACTAGACACAATAAATGAGGAATTAGAAAGGTTGGAGAAACTTGGCATAATTTCAAAAGTCGATTACTTGGTTTGGGCATCTCTAACCGTATATATAAAAAAGAAAAATCAGAGTGTGTGCTGATTTTTTGACAGGCTTAAATGATTGTGTGAAAAACCATGCGTACCTTCTACCATCTCCGGAGGATATATTCACTAAATTAAACAGAGGTAGAGTATTTTCAAAGTTAGACTTGTCAGAGGCTTACCTTCAGGTTAAAGTCAGTGAAGAATGTTTGAAGTACCTGACAATAAGCACGCATAAAGGGATTTTTAAACTAAATTGTCTTCCTTTTGGATTGAAGGTAGCTATTCCAGCAAATAATGAACACAATGTTGGCTCGTATGGAGTATGCAATCACATATTTAGATGATATTTTGATTAAAAGTGAAAACGAGGCCCAACACAAAATGCATATTAGAGCGGTATTTCAGAGAATTGAGGAATACGGGTTCAAGCTGAGTGCTGAAAAATGCGAGTTCTTCTTAAAGAAGATAAAATATTTAGGGCAGATCATTAAGAGTAAAGGAAGAAAACCGGATCCAGAAAGGGCTGAGACAATAAAAAATATGCCAGCATCTGATAATGTGACTAAACTCCAGGCCTTCTTGGGATTAGTAAGTTATTATAGCATTTATATCCCAAAAATGTATGATATGAGAGCTCATTTAAATAATTTGGTGAAAAAGGGCGCAAAGTGGATATGGTCGAAAGAATGCGAACAGGCTTTTAAAAAAATAAGCTGTCTATTAGCAGACCTATCATTAGCGCATTTCGACCCGAAGAAGAAAATCATTGTAGCAGCAGATGCCAGTAATGAGGGACTAGGTGCGGTATTGCTTCATAAATTCGAGGATGGATCTACGAAGCCAATAGCACATGCCTTGAGAACGTTACTGCCCACGGAACAAAGTTACAGTCAAATCGAAAAAGAGAGTTTAGCAATAATCTTTGCTGTAAAAAAATTTCACAGGTTTCTATACAGAAGAGAATTTATTCTCCAAACAGACCACAAACTGCTGTTAACAATATTTGGTCCAAAAAAATGTATACCAACTCACACAGCAAATCGACTACAGCGTTGGGGTGTAATTCTATTGAATTATAATTTCAAAATAGAATATGGGCCTTCAAAGAAGCTAGGTCACGCCGATGGGTTATCAAGATTGATACCGAAATCTACAGAGCCACTGGAAGAAACAGTAATAGTGGCGCTAAGAGATGAAAGTGAATTGTCGGGTCTGTTATGCAAAATTATTAGAGAACTACCGGTTACACTAGAAGATGTGAAAAAAGCAGCAGTGAATGATGATTTCATTAAAAAAAATGAAAAAGCAAGTCTGGTTGAATGAGACAACTAAAAAAGGAATTAGTGTGTCACCTTTTTTAGTCTGCGAACAGGTATTACTATATGCAGATAGAGTTGTAATGCCGGTTACTCTGAAAAAGAAAATTCTGAAAGAATTTCACACTGGCCATCCAGGTATTTTAAGAATGAAATTCTAATGAGAGGCTATACTTATTGGCCGAGGATGGACCAAGACATAGAAAATTTGGTGAAACAGTGCAGAGGATGTCAACTGGCAGCAAGGGATCCACCGGTAAAGATTCAACCATGGCCAAAGACAGATGTCCCATGGACTCGATTGCATATCGACTATGCAGGGTCCATAAATGGATCTTATTACCTGATCATTGTGGACAGTTTCACTAAGTGGCCAGAAATTGTTAAGTGCAGATATCTGACTGCAACAAATGCACTTAATGAAATTTTTAGTCACTTTGGACTCTCTAAAACTTTTGTCAGCAACAATGGAACGCAGTTTATAGGAAGAGAATTCAAGGAATTCTGTAGATCATTGTCCATTGATCACGTGACAATACCAGTATATCATCCAAGATTGAATGGACAGGTGGAAAAATTTGTGGACACTTTTAAATGAGCGTTGAAGAAAAACCAAGGCGTGGACACGAATGAAAGAAGTATTCAGAAATTTTTGGCAGTATATAGAATCACGCCAAACCCGAATACGACGTCAGGGTTATCGCCAGCAGAGTTAATGTTTGTGAGAAAAATATGCTCTGTGTTCAACAGGCTGTTGCCTAGTCCGGCGAAGAAAACTGCTAAAAAAGAAAAACAGATGACTAAAGCGTATAAGCCAGATGACAAAGTTTTTTTCAAGAACTTTAGGGCTGGAAAAATTATTGGGAAGAAGGAATGATAAACAAAAGAATTGCACAGGTCATATATGACATAAAAGGTGAAAAATTTTGGTGCAAAAGACATTGGAATCATTTGAGACCCAGACACACTACAGAGGTCACGGAAAACACCGAAGAGATTCCAATGGAAGTCCTGTATGATGCATTTGAAATTCCTGTTCCAGTAAGTCAACATTCGCCAATGGAGGTATCCCTGACCTCGAGGCCAGAGGTACCAGTGTGCCAAATGCCACCACTGCAAGGAGGATTGAGGTGAAAAAGACTTAGGTAAAAAAATCAATCAATTAAGTCCAGACCCTAAAAAGAGAAAATATTGAAGCTAAATTTCACGGGAAAATTTAGCTCATGGGGAGGTGATGTAATGAATATGCATCCCCCTAATAGTAATATAATTGGCTGGTGCGGAGGTACAGGAGCGACGCCTCTTGACTATGCCTATTGCCTACCACTTCGACGAGGACCAGTCCATTCTGGTTACCTGCTAGATTGTCCTACTCGGTTACAGTAGTCAATAACCACTTTGCTACTTTGAACAAATATATCCCTTTCCGGGTCATGTCACAAACAATATTAGCATATCCAAGATGCATGATTACTTTTGGTGGGTCTTGCAGCCACTATCATATCAATTTCAGATCAAGCTATTTCGACCAGGTAAACATCTACAGTTTCACCTGGGCACAGTTTCCAAGCTATACACTGCTTTTGCAGCAGACAGTTTATCTGTGTATGAGCAATTTGAAGCTCAGAAACTGCACACAGGTGAAACTGTAGATGTTTACCTGGCTGAAATAGCTTGATCTGAAATTGATATGGCAACTCAATTACAAAATGAAATAAACAAATCACAAGTCTAAACTCAAAGATCCAGGAGAAGAAAGAAATGCCGAAATCATGAATCGAAGGTACAATGTCAAAAATCCCAATACATGTAAACTTTCCCAGGCAACAGTCACTTGCAAGCCGATGGACGAGGTAGAAAAATAAACTACCTCTCAATTCAAGAACACCAAACGTTTTTATCGTCAAAAGAATTTCTTCATTGGAAAGGACAGACAATATTAGCATATCCAAGATGCATTTATGGCAACAGCTGCCACAGACTTGTTTCTATTTTGGTTATTTTGTCTTTGACATAAAACACACATGCCTTTTTTCTCTTTCTCCACAAGTCTATAAAGCTAGGAATTTTTTTTTTTGTCTGCATCTTATGGATGCTGAAATTAGTCATAATAATTTGACTTCTTTATGTGCCGTGTCCCCTCAGGATGTAAACAATCATGGCTCTCCATAGATTCCTGTCCTTTGTAGCTCTTAATAAATTTTATCCTTCTGTTATTTCTCCTTAACCCTGTTCCACCATCCATTTACTCAAGCTCACTAAGTATGTTACATGTCATTTTCCTCTGTCTCACTTGCCTTCAATCTGTCCTGTGGGTATCAAATTTTCTCCGGGATAGGTGGCACTAAGCGCTTATTTCTGGCTAGAATGCAAACGTGAGATTTTATTAAGTGACACTAAATTAACCAGTAGTGTTTTAATTGTAGGCCTCTATGTAAGCATTTTATTTTTAAATTTCTTTAAAAAAAAAAAAAATAAATAAAAAAGCCAAGCAGTTAGAAACACAGAAAATGGAATCAGTAAACACGCCATATGATGAGCACACCAAGAAACCATTCGTGGAGACCCAGGCTCTGCTCACAATTGCAACAGATGAAGTAAAAAGGGCAGCTCGGCTTGGCGGAACCCCAATGACTCCTTCTGGGGTTTAGGGTGAAAGAAAAGAAAGAAAAAGAGTTCAAGATAATCTGTGTACACTTCCAATTTGGGGAAAAGCATGAATAAGAATAAATGATACAACTAACATTGCACAAAGAACCATTGTTATCTCCAACCTTCTTCATGTGCTTGACAATCTGGTGTTTCTTTATTGAAATTATGTTCACTTTCTTACCATTTATGTGAGACAAAATTTATTTAAAAACAATCAAAAATTTTCAAGTAATGATTACATTTTTGTCTGTTATTGATTCATTTTTTATGACATCAACACTTTGTGGGTTATTTAAAACCAGAAAATATTTTTGGATTATAAGAATTTTGATGGGGGTAATAAATGATTTTGTGTTACTAATTAACCCATAGCTGGGAGGAGAAGAGGTGAATTCATACCTTTCCCAAGGGTATTTGCACGTAAAGGAATATAACAAACCAAATTGGAATTCAGCTCTCAGATTAACGATTCCAAGCCATTATCCATTACACCACACATACATCAAAGCTTACAGCACCTGGTATTCCCAAGCAGTCATTCATCTAGGTACTGACCAGGCTCAATGTTGCTTAACTTAGGTGATTGTATGTGAACCGCTGTGTGAGTGTAATACAACAAAACTGTTAAAATACTGTTACTTGAAGAATAAAGTAATTTAGCTTCATTAAACCACCATTTTTCATTAAGTATAAATTTTTCTTCTTTTATATGGCATGACCCTTCAGACTATAAGCAATCATGGCTCTCCACAATTTCCTGTCCTCTTAGTAAAGCTTGTCTTTTTGTTATCTCTCCTAATGCCTGATCTGCCAACTATTTACACAAGCTTGTTAGGTAGGTTATATGTTGCCTTTGTCTGTCCATTTTGATTTGTATGTCCTGTGAGTATGAAATTTTCCAAGTCCTCTTTCCTCATTATGTACCCTAGGAATTTCAAATCTTTCTGATGCTAAGTATAAGTGTCTTTTTTTGTTTCCATTTTCTCTAAAACTTTGTCATTGCTCACGTGTTCAGTTCATGGTATTCTCAGCATCCTTCTGTAGAACTATATTTCTATTGCTTCAAGTCTCTTCTTCATTTGTGATGAGATTGTCCAGCATTCACTGCCATATAGGAAGACTGATATTACATAATACTTTAGTACTCTTTTCTTTGATTCTAATAAAAATTTCCTATTGCTCAATACTTTGCTTACCTTTTGGAAAGCATCTTTCACTATTCTAATATGTTTTTTGATTTTGGTATTCACCCCTAATTAATTATATAAATATTATTACTTAGGTTTTTTTTCTAATATTTTTATTTTTACTTTGTCTACTTGTGCAGGTGTTGCCAATATTTTTAGCTCCTTTGTATCATCATATCCTATTGCTGGAAGTTTTTCCAGGTAAGTCATGTACATTTCTTAAAGAAATAAACAATTTCTATTAGCTTTGCATAAAACATATTAAGAACACCTTGTTTGTATCCAGACAGTGTAGCTTTGCAGCTCAGATCAGGCACCAGGTTCATTCTCAGGATGCAGCTAATTTCAGTCAAACAATTATGCTTAAAATAACTCTTTGCTGGATCATTACCCACAAAATAAAACTATGAGCCGATTATAGCAGTAAGCAAATTTTATTTGGTTGTAACCTTCTGCTGTAGATTCCTTCAAGGCAGAGATGACGTGAGGGGAGGTGAACAGTCTAGTTTCTCAACTAGCACCCCCTTTGGGCATAAACTTTTTGTCAACGCACCCCCCCCTCCCCGGTAAATTAAATTTTGAATATTATACTGAATTCATCTTTCATAGTAAGATAACACTTAGGTATTAGTGAAAAAAATAATTTTAATACTGTTTTCATTTCTATTAGAAATGCCAATGATTACAATCCTCAAAAAAACTTTTACTTGAAAGCTTATCTCAATGTTTTCAATGCGATGGTTGACTTTGGTGCTTACTGGCTAGGGCTTTTTACTCTAGGTTCCATGCTGCTTAGATGTAATTGTAAATCGCAGTTTCTTTGTTTAATAAGAAGCTGTGTAACTGTGTTGAAACCACATTCAGCCATATAGGAAATTGAAAAAGCAATAAAAAAAAAGTTTGATAGCTTTCTACAGCACTTTCAGAAATTTCCTTTTTTTAACTAATATTGAATAATTTTTGAAAATCTGAAAAACATTAGTCTAACAGGTGTGTCTTCCTTTTTGTGTCATTTTGTGCAGTTTATTGTTCCTTTCTGTCTGTTCTTTGTGGGTCCCTGGTGCTAGTGACTACTGTCTCATAGAGAATTATGTTCTTTTGTCATGTCATTTTTGTCTAAAAAAGTAATTTATCAAGAACTCAAGGTTTGGCTTCACTCAGTGACCTTCATTGTCAGAGTTGTTTGACATAGTTCTTGTGAGGTCCATTTCACTTAGTTGATAATCATCAAGACAATAACTGTTTGAAACAAATTCCATAACATCCCTTAAAAGTTTCCATTTAACAAGATTTTGGCTGACACTGATATTGCTACAACAATAAGTACAAATGAACCAGAAATACTTTTAGAAAATTGCGAAGAATATTGCATATGCCAAGATAACTTCTATAACTTTGAGATGAGTCCAGGTGTTGTTTGGGTAATTGATTGCATTCATTTTGTTGCTATTGGTTTCAGCTGTTCTATTCTATGGCCTTCTTTGTGTAAGTGTGGGTGGTGTAATGGATAGCAGCTCAGAAAAAAAATTCAGTAGAACCAAGTTCAGATTCCAGTCAAGTTTGTTATATACACTTACATGAAAATACCCTTGGGAAAGGTATGAAGCTATCTTTTCCCCCAGCTATCGGTTAAATAGTAGGACTTGTATCTGGAAAAAATATTTTTATTTTTAAAAATGTTAATGGAAAAAAAGAATTATTCTTACAATTCAAAATAAGTTTCAGATTTAAATAACCCACAAATGGTTGATAAACCACGAAAAAAGAAATCGTTAAAACCAATGCCTTCTTCAGGTCTATAATATGTCTAAGAAAGTAAATCTTACATAATTTGCTGCTAATGGAATGGTCTTATTGGCATAAATACTACTATTTCTTCCCTGTTTGCTACTATGTTCTCTCTAACAATCCTGCTGGTGGAGTGCCAACAATTAAGCTCGTCTGGGTTTTTGGTTGAAGTATGATAAAAATAGACTGGTTTCTTGGTTACTAGGGATCTGTTCTCTTGGACAAAATATTGCCCTAAGAATTGTCTGGGCCAAGGAAACTAGGTTATTTTTAATAATCCACCTTAAAATGCAGCCTTCAATAAAATACTTTATTGAATAAACAGCTTCTTCCACACTACAATGGTCACATTTTGACTTTATGACTAATATCTGGTTTATGTTACCAAAAAGGCACTTCCACTCTTTGAATTCTTAACCTGAAGGAAGTCAATGTAACAAAGGAAGCAATTCTTGGTATTGGCATCATATGAAAGTTTTTATCAGTTAGCAAAAGAATAATTTTACATTTTTTTTTTTTTTTAGGATAATTTTTATTTATGAGAAATGTTCATAAAAATATAAAAATGGTCACTGTTTTTTTTTTCTACAAGAAGGTAATTTTACAAGTTAACATTCTGCTTAAAAAGTAGAAAAGAAAAATAATGTAACAGTAGGAAATTGTAACAACCTTAATACAGGTTACTAAAATTTTGACCATGATGAAATACTGCACTTGTTTTATTTTTAGTAACCTTTTTATTTTCAGAATAAGTAGAAACATAACCATTTAATGATTTTTTTTCTGGGAGATGAATTTTCCTGTTCTATAATTTTGAGAAGTTACTATCATTTAAAGAAATTTTCAGACAGTTGTACAAATATCAGACCCACACAAATTTTAACGCAGTATGGTTTTCTTTGCCTTTCAGTGATTACTTTTGCATTTTAGTGATTTTTTTTTTTTTTTGCCATATACCTTCATGATGTAGGTAGACATGACTCTCCACAGACTCCTTTTTCTTTATTATTTGAAAATTGCTATGATTTCTTGGGGAAACATAGCGAAGTAGTTTCCCATGGCATTCTCCAGTTTTTAATTCAAAATAGTAGTTCTCTCAGACTACCTATTATCCAAGGCTAGAGTATAAAAACTTATAATAAAAAAATGTAAAATTATCTAAAAATAATTAAAGAATAAATATAAAAAAAAAATAATTACACTAATGATTACTAGGTTTGTTTATTGGGGTAATTTGCTTTTTAAGCCCCTTGCTAAGTATCAAATAAAAATTTCCTGAATAGTTATATCTAGGTGTAAATTTACATGCTTAATTTGAAACTAACAAAGAAATTTTGCTAAAATCTACCATTTTGGGGTTATCAATAATAAAATTTTGAACTCATTCACATCATTGGCTGCTACGGCACGACAGCCATTACTGGCATTGTTTGCGTATATTTGCTGCCGGACAGACATGCACGGAAGATTACCTTGTTAACAGCCTTTTTACTGATCTCACTTGCTTCAATTACTGCACAATTGAGGACTCATTGTGTGCGCAATAATCAAGACAAGTTAATGTCAATTCGGCAGCAAATATATGCAAACAACACCAGTAATGGCTGCCGTGATGTGAATGAGTCCAAACTTTTATTGCTGATAACTCCAAAACGGTAGATTTTATCTAAATTTCTTTGTTATTTTTTAATTAAGCATGTACATTTACACCTAAATATAACTATTGGGGAAATTTTTATTACATACTTAGCATGGGGCTTAAAAATCAAATTACCCGTTTATTGCACTTTCTTTTGAGAGGTGTGTTAAAAATAATTATTAAAAGAAAGCCAGATGGTTAGTTAATAAAGAAATTGCTTGAATAAATTTAATGTATAAAGAGTTTGTATATGTGAGGCTCATATCTGATATAAATACTGCCAAAATGAAGCTTAATAGTATAGGAAAAAGATATATGTATAAAATTTGCTTTACAAATTTAAAAAAAAAAAGACTCACTTAAATAAATTTTGAAAAGAGATGTGGTTTAAGAGATACATCCTGTAATTTTTTTTTTTTTTAACCATTGGTGAAAGTAATTATGAACCCAAGGTATCAAATTTCTGTTTCAAGTGAGAGCTGATTCATGGCCATTTGAGAAGTCTTATTTGCCAGACCTGCAGAATGGACTTAGCTTTCACATGCAAAAGAGGTTGGTTGGCTACTGGGAGGTAGAAAGCTGAAGGGGATAGGCTATCACAGGTGAAAGTCACTGGTAGCTGCTAGGAGAGCAAGAGGCTGAAGGGTTTCACCATTCACAAAGATGACATCAAATACTACTATGATGACAAAAAGTAAAAGCAAAAAAAAATAAAAACCAGCCCCATTGCTCCCAACAATGAAAATGAAGTAACAGAAGGAAAAGAAAAGAAAGAAGCTGTTATACTAGAACATACCTATTCTATTATTAATAGACTCTCCCACATATAATAAGTAGTAGCAGTCGCCAGAGGGGGATCAGTGGAGTCGGTGAGTCAGTCGATGTCAAACATTAAAGTATCAACCACCACAACTAGATTGCTGCGTCATTGACTATTATAACAAGTTCCTAACGTTTTGTACGTCAAACCTTTTTTAGGACCAACTTAGTGAAATACAAGCCTCTACTGTGAAACTACTCTACAACAGAAGCTGAAAGAGAGAAAAAAATCTGAAAGAAAATTCACAAAAGTAGAAGTATTAACTCTGATTTTAACTTTTATAAGAAAAAAAAGGACAACATTTATCTCAATACTGAATTTCAGGTTTAAAAACTGAACTATTATTTAAATTACCTATCAATGCTTGTGAATTTGCCATCCTTCTCAAAGATTTTCATCTGTTGAATGCATGAAACTAAGTGAATATTTTTCTGAAAAAAACCTCTAATTGCTTTTACCTTATATGAGCCTAACATATTTGAATCTTAGAACTTGTTATCTTGCCTAATTATTGGGCACATAAAGGAAAATTTTGTGCATACTTGTATTATAAATTCATATTCTATTACATTGTTTTCTATACCATTTAATAAATATAAATTTATTTCCAATTTCACTTTGGAGTAGAAGTCTTGTTTTTTTTTGTTTTGTTTGTTTGTTTGTACCCTTTCACAATGCTCAGGATAAGAGACATGACATATTCTCTTCTCTCAAGAGAGCCTAGTCTACTCTACTGATTCATAGCTAGTGAGGGAAGAGAGGGATTCATGCCTTTCTCAAAGTCATTAATGTGAAAGTGAATAGAACAGACGAGGCTGGAAGTTGAACACTGCTTGATGATTCCACTCTCAGAGCCATTACACTACCTGCACATATGAATTTCTTTGTTTATCAAAGAAAGGAATTAAAACTGTTTCCAGATTAAAAATTATGGAAAAAATCTGGGCTACTGAG